AAAATTAGCTTTACTTATAGAAAAAAGTTTAACCACTTCTCTCTTTAGAATTAATATGAATGGAATAATTGAGTTTCCCCCTCATTCTTTTTTTTGTAAAGATACAAGTGCCGTGTTATTCTTATTATATCTACCAGCTGTATCGTGCGTCATCAAAACCTCAGGTGCTCAGGTGTGGGGTAAACCGGCTCCAAGCCTAAATAAACTCCTCTATCCATTCAATAGTGTCGTTGAGCAGCCTATCTTGCTCTAGGGAAATACATGCGCCCTACACCGTGTATCCCATTCTATAATCGGTATCTCGACTCATATTTGTAATTGAATTTCTACATTATATCGTTCGTATACTTCATTCATCTCGTATACTACATAAACTTGAATTATATATAGCGACTATAATTACAATTCAGCTACAAAAACCTAATTCAACTTAGAAAAATATACGATTCGTTTATAATTACAGTATACTATTTATGAGCATAAAAGAATTGTATACGTTTTTTTTTTAATTTTTAGATTATAAAATCTCATTTCTAAAGAAATATTGTAACGTTTTTATTGTTCCGTAAATTTTACTGAAAATGAAAACTGCATTGCAATGCTACACGGGTAATTAATTTTGATACGTAACCATTATTATGTTATATTTGATAGTTTCTTAGAATTTTTCTCACTTGATATAGATTTTATCATTAGCTGCAATAGAGCTGACCAGTTAAGGTTCGAGGAAATGACCGGCCTTCAAGGCTACCTGTTTATTACGAGAACGCACGCCTCTTCTAGTCGTGCAACTTAGATGGAAACTTGAACGGGTGAAAGAAACGGGAGGAAGAGACGCCGCCAGACGAGCGTCGAAACGGCTGTCTCGCCTAGCTGGACGTTTATTTCTCTCGGGCCGTTGGCCTCGCGTGCTTCAGCACGTGTAGATTAACGTGGAAACCGCGAGACGGACATTTCCCGCTCACGCGACGTCGCTTTCCACTAATATATTCTCTTTTCCGCGTCAAATCTACCAGATAAGATGAATCCGCCCACTCACTTTGTAACGTGATACAACTGTGTCTGGCTTACACTGCTCTTTATAAACCTTTTATCTCTGCTTCGTACTTTTGCCGCTGGTGGATTATACAATTTGAAAATAAAGTTTGGAAATGTGTACCATGCTCAAGATACTGCAAATCGATCAACACGTAAATCAATTTTTCTACAGATAAAACAATATAAAATTTTTAATACAATTTCTCTAAAATTACTAGCATTCGTGAAATTTTAATTGAGACACTTCAAGACTGTGACGACAAAAATAACATTTTATCCAGTAAAAATGTTGATGGAATATCTCGATATTACTCAACCGATTGTTTACTACTGCACTTATTCTAGATCGGATAAATCCGGAACAGATAGTAGACGCGTATGAGTTTACGTCAGCGACAAAACTGCCACGCCCTTTAGCAGCAAAATAATATCACTGTGTGCGTGTCACGCAAATCGCCTATCGATCTTCCATGGTAGGACCTCGACCTTGGTCCTTGAAATGTTCCAGTGCATCGACCCTTCCTGAAACGTCCTGTATAACCACCATGGAAGGCACGGCTGCAATATTTATCGAGCGGTCACTCCAACCGTTAGGAACGGAAGTGTAGATATATTTAGAGTCATTCGCACGCGCGAATCCGCTGATTTTTATCAGCCATACCTGAATTTGAAATCAGTATGAGTAACTTCCGTCATTGTGATTGATAGCGCGGGAATAAAAATCTTCCTTTCATCGCACATTGGATGAGAACAAAAGCGATACCCCCGTAATTCAATACATGATGTAAGAACTATATTAATGCGATGATTGAATCAGCTCTTTTCATATTAGAATTTATTCAGTCGCGTATTTCCTGTTACATTTATCTGAATCCTATTTCGTTATTAAACTCCATATGTAAAATAAAGAATTTATAAAATAAGGCAGTAATAAAAAAAAGGAGTAATCAGTAATTTTTTTTGTAGAGAAAGTATATATTTCTGCTTATTTTTAAATTAAAAATTTTATGTATTTTTCTTAAAAAATGCACAGCCTTATAATTAAATTTTAGAGAACAGTATTTGGTATTTGTAATCAAAATATAATGAAAATGATAACATTTTCAATATAAATGGACATTCCAATCTATTACTCGCTCGCGCGAAAGTGACAGGAGTGATATCTATCTACAATCGACAATAGAAACTCATTTTTCCGTCGATTTCTAGCATTCTTACGTATTCAGAAGCGAGAGTCGCGTTTCTTGGCGTGGATCCCATGCTTTCACCAATACGATTTTGTTTCTCGTGAAATCGGATTCATCGAAAAATCTTTCACCAGTAACATATGTCTCTAAATCCGCGAATTATAGCGTGCGATATGTTGTCAGAGCGAATTTCACAATGGAGCATGACAATATGCCAGCCGACGACGCGACACTCCGTCACAAAATTTTGTCATTTCGCACAAAGCGTCTGAGAGGAAGGCCAATATCGCGTGGGTGTTTATGGTGCTGACAAGGGGTTCCAGCCCCGTCTTCGTTAGACAGGCCGACGCCCTTGTACGGACATTCAATCGACCGTATTTCAGCCATTCCAGGCTTCGAAAAGCTTAAATTGGACAGGGTAACCAATACTTTGACATGTTATCTACGAGTATTGATTCGATTCGACAAGTTCCTTTCAAACACTTTTCAATATTTATATTTATAATAATCAAAGAAAGTTTTTGCAACGGTAAATGTATTATTTACTTCTACAACAATTATTTATTATTTTATAGTCAATTGAGTAATATTATTATAATTATCAAATAAATTGTTAACATCTTTGTTCAAGTTGCGTAGATGTCCTTCATTAAAGTATTGGTTCGCAATTACCGAGATAAAAAAAAAGTATCGATGCGATAAATATCATACCAATCCTATTCTCGCTGAGGTTTGCTTCCCATTCGAATTGCTCCCACATTGCTGCCAATGCGCTTAGTTCACGAAGAATGTAAGAAACGAGATCGATTAACGAAGTTACGCTCGTCGAGGCACACCCTCGGGTTACAGTCGCGTAAATTGCCACAGTTTTCGACGAATAGAGATGAATGATGCCGTGCTATTGTGAATTACGAGCACAATTTGCAAGATAAATGCATGCAAGGATTGAGTTATAACAATTCATGATTCCAATAATTATACAGCAAGAGAGAAAGCTTGAATTAACGTAATATCATCGAATCAAACAATAACATATAATTGCTCGAATAATCGGATAAATACATATTTTGTTTTATGCTTATATCTCGCAAATTGTAACAAAATATATATCACAAAGAGAATTTTTTAAATTCATTCTTTTGAAAAGTGATTCAAAAGAATGAATTTAAAAAATTCTCTTTGGATTCAAAGGAAAATGCCGAATGACGAAAATTGTTGTGCAAACTTTACTCTCGATTCCTGTAGAGGAAATCGAGTATCCTGTTCACGCAACGATTGCCAATTTCCGTTGATCGTTTGACAAATTCACCGGATTCACCGAAATTTGATTTTCTTTCGATGAATTGGGGCATATCTGGAAAATTTCCGTGAATTAATCTGCTTCTATCCCATCTTCGCGATATACTTTAAGGATGTACGCGGAGCATACAGACGAAATTATGCAGTAACAGAATATAGAAAAAAAAAATAGAGGAAAACTTATAGAAAAAATATAAAATTTAATAAACCTATTATATTATTTCAATTATTTCTGTCGGTGTTGCATATTAAATTAAACATCATTATGAAATGTCTATGATTCATATAGATAACAAAATACAAGAAAAATTCGGTTCTGATTGATTGGTCTTAACAAAATAACGACAATAGAACGATAAAAATAAATAATCTGTGGATCTGTTTGTGTCAGATATACTTTCTTGTATGTTTTTTTAATTTTATCTCACGTAAATAAATATATAAATACTTAGACTTAAAAAAGAAAGAAAAAAACTAAGCAATGCAAATAAATGCAACTAAAAGCCTATATATGCGATGTTTATGAAGATTTTTACATTTCAAGACTGTTAGAATGCTTTATCGCCTCAAACATCATCTTAAATCCTATGCGATTTAAATATTAAATAATGCAAGAGGTCTAAAGGGAAGGACCGCGCCCTTCTCGCATTCAGAGATGTTAAAGAATACATTTGGAAAAATATTTCTGAAGCCAAGAAGAAATTGGGTTTAAAATATGTTGTTATAAAAATTTTAATATATAAATCTACCGAAAAAAATTAAATCTCTGTCAAATAATCTATAATTCAGACAAAATATTCGGCTTCGGCCTACATAATTATACGTCTAATTTATGCGTGCGATTTCTATATATACCGTTTGCGTCAAAAGAATGATAGCCATTTCGCAACCATCAACACATCGTTTCGCCGATATCCTTTGCGAGCGTGAAGCTCGAGGATGGCTGTTATTGATCACGAAGGAGGTTCGAAGCCGGGAGCAGCTGAGCTACCCTTGTCCTTTTCCTGCGTTTCGAGGCTGTGCGCGCACGTGGCCGTCGCGCCCCATTCATAACAATTCCCCGGCAACACCCGAAGACCACCCTAACCGGGACACAGCTGTTGCCATGGGAGACATATCGGTACCTTATTAAGACAGTTCGATAGTACTGCTCCTTAACGAGTTTTATCGGCCAATTGGAGTGATGCGGGAACGCTTTATTGCACGCGCCACGCTTTCGAATGCAGCGAACTGTTCTCACGAGGATGCAGAACTTTGATGTCGAGCTCTTTTAATTGCAAATTCCCACTTTCAGCAATGCGAGACCTATTTCTTCGTACCTCTGTGTGTATTTGTGTATAATGCGTTTCAATTTCCCCTTGAAATCACGCGACGCCTCTCAAAGTTATGTTTCTTTTCAACGGCGGAAGTCGCGACCGTGTCGCACCTTTGTCAGCGAGCGCATCGTAAAGATGAGTATCTTTTTTTATGTTGCAGACCTTTCGAAGAATCGTTTCAGTGAGTTACCGGAGGAAGTCACGGAATTTCCATTCCTCGAGAAGCTACACCTCTACCACAATGCCATAAGAATAATCCCGGAAACCGTCGTAATGCTCCAATCTCTGAACTACCTCGATCTTAGGTTAGTATAGATATACGCATATTTATTATCACTTTCAGCGATATCGCCCTTTGTATACATCCTGTATGATATGGAATAGCCGATAACACTTTTCTGTCGTCATGCATTTTATCGCAACGCTATTCTATAACGCAAAATTCTAAAATATTTTAAAAATCGTTACCGAGATGATAATATGTATAATATATTCTACAGAATTCAGAATTCATCTTCGATTCAAAGAAAGCTTTTAGCGAGAAAAAGGCATACTTTTAATTTTCTATAAAAAATATCTTGTCTTAAAATAATCTAAAAGTAGTTAATAAACCATTAAACAATATTTGATTACTTATTCGACATAAAATTCCAACGTATGAAAAATATAATTCTAATAACGAGCAAATTTGTCTAAAAAAAGGCTATTATCCTAATCCGCAGTCGAAACCAATTGACATCGCTACCTCGAGAGATATGCAGGCTACCCCTTCAGACATTGCTAGTCGCACACAACAGATTAGCATCTCTGCCAGACGAGCTAGGCAGGATGACAGCATTAGCAGAACTGGACGCAGGTTGCAACGAAATCACGAGCCTACCATCTCGAATAGGCGACCTTGCGCGACTCCGGTCTCTGGATCTGAGGAGCAACTTGCTGGTGCACCTGCCTATAGGTAGGTCCGCCTTTTCAAAGCGATTACCATATATATAGAGATACGACATATATACAACGATCAGGTTTGCTGCGATTAAAAAACGATTGTGTCAATCTATGGCAAAGAAATAAGTGTCTTGCAAAAAACTTGCTTAGAACACGAAAGTGACTCGGTAAATTAATGCTAACGAAGTCGATATACATTAAAGTTAATGCATCTATATAAATTTATTCTAATCACTTTGTTTATTTCTTAAGCAAAATAAAAGTTATTTTTGAGTAAAGGTGAGATCTAAAAGAAATATTAAAATATCGGTTGCGATTGTTTTTTTAACGAAGATATCTCAGGATTCGACGATGAAATGCGGAGAATTTAACTAGACTGTTAAAATTGCCGCATTTTTACATAGAACTGACGTACCTGAGGCTCGTGAAGCTGGATATTAGTGGCAATCGAATATCTGTGCTTCCAAATGAGATGAGGAAGATGAAAGGCTTAGTGGATTTCAGACTGTCCGACAATCCGCTGACCTCGCCGCCTGCCTCGGTGAGCATTAGCCAACGACTCGTTCGTTTTTACCTAAGATTTAGCGATTTGCGCGCACCTACGCTCTTTCCTAGCCAGCCCGGCGGATTTTAATAATTACACGCACGCCCATTACTTCACCCATCGACTATCATTTATTTACGATCTTCCTACGTCCCACGCAGGAGTTGATTGCAAAACCGGTGCCTTTCGCTCTGTACTCTATTCGCGACTTTATTCGAATTCTCGAATCAATATCGCGCCACTCGAAAACGTTCGACATCATTCTGTCGCTAGGAAGAAACAAAACGTTCGAATATAGGACACCTCTCTTTCGCGGAATAATGTCGAATCTGAGGTACTAAGGCGGCCGTTTTTACTGCCGGTTTCAGCTATGCATTCGCGGGCGAACGCACATTTTCAAATACTTGGAGAGGCAGGCAGCGAAACACGAGAGGGCCAGAGGTGGTCGGACGAGGCGAACGCCTCTGGACACGAGGGGTCACGCGACGCTGGACTTGAGGTCGCACCGGCGGCACAACGTCGACAGCGGATACAGCACGAGCGACGGCGTCGACAAACGCTGGTCCCAGGAGATCCACAGCGCGGTTAGTTTCACCGTCGTTCTCGTGGCCTTTCCGCTATCGCTCCATCTCCTGCAAACGCTCTACAACTACTTCCTCGCTAGACTATTCGGCGAGGCTACCACCAACTCGCCCGCGGATCTCTGATTCAACGTAAATGGGTCATATGAATAAATCGGAGTACAAATGCTTTTATTTCTTGAATGGCTTTTTGAAAGACACATATAAATATGTAAAATCATAACTAAAGCGGAGCAAATACTCCTGCTGTTTATATCGTTGGGAAAAATGTTGGGAAATATAAAAGAAAATGTAGCACTTGCTGATGCACGTAGTTGAAGTATTTAGATAAATAAGATATACAAGTAAATTGTAAACTATAAAGTAAATATTTTACAGCAAATGGCAAAAAATATTGTAAGATACACTTTGCATTATATTCTTGCTTTAGAATAAACGCTTTTGCTTTCTAGACTTAGAATAAACGCTCTTGCTAATAATACTTGGTTATTCATATGACCATTTAGAATTTATGCTTTTTGTGAATTTTTGTACAAATTTTTGTATAAATTATTGTACAAAAAGAAATTTCCTACTTCCTCGGTGAAAGACGAGCGATTTCGCGATTTAACCTCTAATCACATGATTGTACAAAACACTCGAATAAAATTCTACCAGTACACAAAACATACACTACTCGCTATCTTACGTGTCTCCTATTGGTCATCGTTTGCGTGCAGGTGCACGACGGCGAAGTTCGCGGTTTGTGGCGGCAAGAATGTTCACCATTATCGATAACGCTACCGCACGAGGTAGGTGTGAACGGGTCTTGCAGCGGCACGTCGACACCCAGCACGATTTCACCCGGGGAGCACACATCTTTAGAAGATGAGTTGGGCAAGGTAGGTTAATAAATCCTTCACAATATACAAGACTTTCGCAATAAAAAATTTCTAATTGACATTCTAATCAGAAGATAACAGAAATATTTTTATGAGAAATATAGACATTTTTTTTTTCAAACTTTCTCTCATTAATGAACTTTATTGAATATTTAATTTGTATTTAAATGTGAAACGATTTATTTTGATTTCTTAGCTAGTTTATTTAGCTAGTAAAGATGTTGGTTAAATCATATTTGTCGATCAATTTAAAACCACTTGTTCAAGATAGAGAAGTGAGATTTGTATAGAGCAGCTCTATCAATTTCCGATAATAAATTGAGATAATAACTAGAGATAATAACTAGAGATAATAACTAGAGATAGATATAAATATTTCATTTGTTATCAAGCACTTATCACTATTTACATTTCTATTTGAAGCAATCGTTAGCCGGTAAGCTTTAGACTGGTCTGTGAAATCTAAAGGATGACATGGCCGCTATATTTAGCTGTCCAATAGATCTCAAGTCGAGTTGCGGTAATGATAGTCGTCTTGACTAACCGTTGTTGGCTGTCGCTCAAGTCTCATTACAGGGCCTTGACCCAATAAAATGTTTCAAAATTATGAATGCATGATACATCAATCTATGTATATTTGGAGTACCCGAATCGTACTTTTCCACGATCGCTATTTCTCTGACAAATGAAAGGCAGATTTTGACAGAATTTACTTCGAAATATAATTACATAATTAATTAAAAAAATAATAAATATTGAGAAAAAAGAGATACCAAAATATTAAGTTAAGAACCAATTACAAACGTTATTTTCTATGAAATAAATTTGAAATTTAACTCGATTTAATCTGTTATTAATATATATTTTATGAAGATACTAAAAAGTTAAAGTTCACGATCTCATGTGAAACTTTTTGCAGGCTATGATACTACACGATCAACTGGAAAAAAGGAGATTAGAGAGGAGCACCTCGGAGAATGGGGCAGACATTAGGAGACCTATGATCTCTGGCCTTCATCACACATCGATTACGCCACCGGGGTAAGTGAAGTTTCCCGCTACAATGATCTGTGGGTCAGCCACCGCGTGCTTTCCTTCTATTCGAAATACCTGACCCTCGATGTTCTCCATTGATATTGTGATATTGAATTGTCACGGACACAGTGATTTTCGCAAACATACATATACGTACACTTGCATGCATGCATGTGCATTATCGTGGCTGGCAATCGTTTTTTTACAGCCATCTGGAGTCCACGCATTTGACGAATCAGTCGCAGCAGTTATCGTGCGCACAATCGGTACACCCACTTCAGACTGCCATGAATCCCGCTACACTAATGAACGGCGACGATAAGAGGCCGTTGAATCACATACAGACGTACAGGTAACTTTGCTTTGAACCGTATCAACGAAAGCCCTTGTCAGTCTGAGTTCATCTCATGTCACTAGGTTTTTTTGCGTTGCACTCATTTACTCAGCCAAGCATATCTGAATCTTCCAGCGGTCGCGATTGGTAATGTTATGATGATAACTATGCGTTGAATTATTATTGTAAATGATGCTGACGAGTGCTATCCTCTCAAACGAAACATAATCCTATCAATCCTCTCAAGTTTATACGATTGGATATTTGCTTATACTTAGTTAAATGTTTGAGATGTGCATTTCTCTATGTCTACATGTAGATATAAAATTCGTTATACGAATAATTATTTCTTTCTTTTTTTGATAATTTGGTTTGTATTTCAATACATATAAAACTGATAAAAAATAATTTGTCTTTGAAAGTTTGCAAATTAGAAGACTAATATTGCGAAATTGTTATAATATTGAAATGCTTTCAGTATTTTACGTAGTTGTCCTGCTTCAATTATTCATGCTCGCAAGAATCATTAGATAACATTCGCGAAAATCATTACATTCTGTTCTATGACAGCATATGCTTCGAAATTATAAGTTGTTTTATTCTTAGGGAGTATAAAGAAGCTTTGAAACAGCAGAGAGCTAACGAAGGTCTAAGCGTGTACAGACCTCGCGAACAAGTGACGCCTCCGGGCAACGAGTCGCAAAATAACGAGACCGACTCGGGCAATAATAAGGAAATCATCACTCTGACTGGTAAACAAATTTTTAACGAGGACAACGCGTTGAAGAGGCCAGTGCAGAAGGTTACCCCATCGCGAATCAACTATCAAAACACGCCGATTATCAACGGCAACAACAGCGACTACAACAACAAGAACGGAAAATATCTCGAGCAACCTTATAAGAAGCCTAGCTCGCCTATCAAAACTTCCACCAGTATTCTTTCCACGAACACAAGTCCAGCGCACGCACCCAGACTAGTGAAAACTGCTGTTGGTTACGTAGAAGGTATAAATGAGTAAAATCAAATGTAGAATTATTTTCCGGCTATTATTTATGATTGATGTATAAAAGCAATTTTGCATTTTACGAAAAATTTCTTTTATACATTCCATGCAAATAAAAGAAGACGCGATTACACAATACGTGCTCATAGTGTGCATATCTTTATCAGGCAACAAGAGTCCAAGTAGAAATGGCGGCAGTCCTAAATCACCGCGATCCGTCACTTGGAACAGCAACGTGCCTGAAAAGTATTCCTTTACCATGAGGAGAGAGTTCGAACGTGCCAAAGAAGAGGCTGACCTCATCGAGCAACTGCGAAATGTAAGCATTACTATAGTAACGATCAGCCATTCTTTTTATATGACTCAAAATATCGCGTTTATCTTGTAGCATATAGAGACGAGATTAAAAATGGCACTGCCGGAGGACCTTGCACCAGCGTTAACGGACGGCGTTGTTCTCTGTCACTTGGCTAACCACGTTAGACCGCGATCGGTCGCCAGTATACATGTTCCTTCTCCGGCTGTAGTAAGTAATTTTTAGCGGTCCGGCAATTTTATCGCGAATTTGTGATATATTTTGTGTACGGATATATTATACTGACGCCAACGCTTTTTGCAGCCTAAATTGACGATGGCGCGATGCAGACGTAACGTCGACAACTTTCTCGAGGCGTGCCGAAAGATTGGCGTCGATGAGGTAAGAAAACGCCATTAAACTTTTGTTAATTAGTTTCGAGGAAGTTTGTGCTTCTCTTTCGCTCAGGATGTACCACACTATGCATGAAACACGCTGTCGTCGTTAGCGTACAACGTCAGGGAACGTGTTAATCTGGTGGTTACTTCCAAATCAATTAATGATGTTTCTTTTTTCTCTAACAAATGGTAATATGATAAGAGTTGTAATGATAATACGATAATTGTTGTTTGTGCCATATGATCAATGTACGTGCTTCTCACTGAAGAGTAGAATGTAAATATGAACGAACGTGCTTCGTTGAAGAGTAAAATATATTATATAAATGGATAAGAGATAATGGAGATAAGAGAGTGCGAAAATTTACTCTTTACGAAGCATGATTGTGCGTTCACGAAGACACTTCTATCGACTCATCTTATTTAGACTTATCGAAGCTGCTTGGTGAACAATCGGGTGGAAAATTTTCATCGCACATTATTCGTAACCGAACGTCTATGTACATCGTGACTAACGCTTCGGCGATCTAGCCGTTACTTCTCGACACTTCCAACAACTACTAGTCAGTCCCCGATTTTAATCTGATTTCGATCAAATGTAAATTGTTTGTAAAAAGAAACAGGTGAAAATGAGCGTATAATTATGTAAGAATATAAGACCAGGAGAAGGAAAACGAATTAGCAAAGAAGCTTTAGTTGCATGCGCCTAGATTCCAATTCGCTTTTGTGTCGCTTCTTCGGGGAGCAGTCGAAACCTCGAATTCTCACCTTTCCCGCCGAAAGTTTCATCGATTAACATCCATTTGGACTAACTATCCAAACTGTACAGATGATCCAAATAATCTTCACTAATCATTGTGTAAAATACTACTATATTGCTGTTGTTTCCATCCCCATTTTTTCCTTTAACGCTCTTTGCCTTCTTAATAAAACTTTTTAAACAAATTGTCAAAAGAATAAACTAGCAAATTTGTTACAATTGATTTTAACAAATAGTAGTGAAGAGAGACAGAAAAATGTATCAGCTTTATTAAAAGTTTTCTTGCTGGAACGATTTTCTTTACATGATAAAACGGGGTTTGATACGACTATCCCCCGAGGAACGCTTCTTTCTCGTACAAAAATAGGCCCTTTCTCTAAGACAAAAATTATGCAATTTAAGACCACGTGAGAAATGTTTCCGCAGTGCGGTGACGTAGAAACTGGGACTGAGTAGTATCGTTGTTGGTGTTGCAGGAGGTGTTATTGGACGCGGATGCAATCATGGACGTGGGTTACATGGACGCGTATGGGCTGGAGGCTCTGGCGCGTCTCGTCACCTCTCTTCTCCTTGTTCGCGATGAGGAGGAGAGTGACACCGAAGAGCCGGTCGCTGGTTCACTCCGTACGATTCAGGACCACGTTATGTCCGCAATGCTTTTTGCCACATTCCTATCCACTCTGGTTCTGCTTTATTTCTTTCCGATCCCCGATTAATGAGACGGTGACGAGAACGGAAAGCCGCCAGTGCGCAAGAAACGAAGGAGCGACGAGTTAATAAGGGGAGAAAGAAGAGTGCCAAGAACGGAAACTATGACACTTCGAAACGACGATTCTTCGATCTCTCCGATTTTTTTTTTTTTAATTAACGCAAACACTGTTGTGTCGGTTTCGCTTTTGATAACCGAATCTGAGAATCGTCGTTTCGTTTGAATAACTATGCGCGCGACACTTTCAACGTTTGTTATTTTTCGAACGGCTTGTTTAATTACTTCTGTGGATTCTGCATTTACATTTATTCAGATTTGAGAAGGTGTCGCGAGTCGGACGCAACTTCGACATCGAAGATTTCCAAGTGATATTCAAAAGATTTTGGACGTAGGAAAAACGCGCACGAATGTTGGATAAATTGAACGTTTTTATAATTAAAGAGAATAATGCAGGGATATCATCGATGTCGAAGTACTCTGCGATTTTTTAAAGTGCCTTTTAGAGCGTACAGATCAAAGAACGATTTACCATCTGTGTCTAGGCGCTTTAAAAAATATCAGAACATATCTTTTTTGCCGCATATGAAATCGCCGCTAGTCCTCACTGCGGCCAGAGTACTTAGCTCTCGATTTATCATTAGTAGTAGCTTTAACAGGGTTGTTCGCTTTTTTCGACCTCCGCCTGCATAAGTTTCCTCACTTGTGATTGCACGAGCGAGGAATCTTGTAGTCAGTATGGAGAATTTTTGGAAATAGTTTTTAAGTATCGACAGGCAGCTTGATGAAACGGTTAGTCGACTAAGTATTAAGTAAGTTTATATCGTTTTCTGTCTAGAAAGGCCTTGATTCATCATCGATAATAGCATACTATATGCGGGAGTATTCACGGGAATCCAAGAGGATTTTCCGCGAAAGATGATTTTCTTAAGCGAAATTCTATTCCACGTTCTCGTTAATTTCCTCCGAACTTATAGGAAGTTGATGTAAAATCAAAGAGCGCAATCAAAGGTAAATCGAAGGCGCTCGCATATCACATTTAGTTGTCTGTGAATGTATTTTACAGAATTACCGGCTATTTGATTGCCACTTGATCGTACAAGTTGGCTATCGTCGGCTGGGATCTGCCGATGAAATATTTTGATAAAAGAGAGGGTAGTGATCGAAATTAAGAACTGGTGTGCAATACTCGTTCAAGAATGCTATATATTCATCCCATTTAACTATCCGGATTCTCGGAAAATATTGCCTTCTATAAAAGCCTCACAATTGCAATTGTCTTAGCTGGTATTGCGACATCATTCTCCGTGTTTACAATTATCCCTCAGGAAAACAAGAAAGAGTGAACGGAAGGATAGCTATGATACCTTGGATGGTAGTATTTTTTTAAGATTCGACCAATGAACTGCCTATGGCTCTTTCAGGATTGGTGGGTCTGTGATAGGTAGCCTGCGAGTATTACAGGATTCATAAAAAGGTGCTAACGGAATCTCTTTTAAGTTCGAGGATTTTCTATTTTGGTATGTAAAGTCTAACAAAAGGTAGTAGTTTGAACGTTAAAAGATGGTGATGTTTATATTCATTCGTTATAAGTTACAAGCGGTATCGCTTTCCTTGCTCGTAATTTCGTAAGTTAGTTCAATTGTATTCTTCATCTACAAAAAAGTACTTTCATTTTCGGAAGGGAAGAACTGAAATAGAGTACTCTTCGATACTTCACCGACCAAACAATTCGGTCTTAGTCTAACAATAAGATATTGTACTGTAGATTGAAGTTATTTTGATCTCACCGTTAATCATCTTCTCAAATTTCAACATTTTATTCAATAAAGCATAACATTATTATGGGAATTGAAAAATTATCAAAAAATATATTACATCAAATCTTATTTTATGAATAAACATAAAGATTGAGTTTATAAATCTATATCAAAATGTAAGCTTGCAAAAATTCTATCGATTTTAACTTCTTATTTATTTTTTCTATAAATTTATATTGTATTTATTTTCGCAGTTAATAAAAAATATAGAAAGGTGGTCGTTTGAGATCAAAGTAACTATAGTTTATGATGCACGACGGTAGAGACACGGTGCCTACTACCTGCCAATTTATTTTCATAAAAACGATGAGAACGTAGAAGGCATGTATCGTCTATAATATACAAGTGTATAACTTATAATGTTAAGAGAACGCTCTTTAAATTTGCAACTGAACGGGATCTCTGTCGAAAAAAGGAGAGCACAAGCATAATGCCCCATCACATCTAATTGACCTCAACAGTGAGCTTTTCAGATCTTATTACGTAGCTTAGGAACACGAGACCCTTCGATAATAATTGCCGCAATACTAATCCGAACAGTGCCAAATATCTCAGCGTGTTATAGAACACGATATCAAATGCTTCTCCATTTTTCCGACAAGATCCGCATCGTCGGAAAGGTCCTAGCGTGAAGCAACATCTCGATACGTTACGAATTACTCGAGTCGAGTAGAGAGCGCACAAATGGAATTTTTAGACAGTTGAGAGGGTTTTGCGTGAAAAGAAAAGTGAGATGTAAGATTTTTTTCATACGCAAGTGATCATTGTATCACGGGTGATCGCTGTATTTGGAGACTATCATATAAGCGCATATATTTATACGTATCGTCGCGAGTCGACACACGTAACTATACGTACGCCAGTGTATTTTTTAAGGGGATGCAAGGCGAGCCGTATCTTCCATGATTTTTGCGACTACTCGGATTCAGTCTACAATCTTGCCGGGAAACGTGTAAAGATGATATTGCGTTTTCGTTTGCAGTCGAATGTGTTTTGCACTTTCTAGTCTACAATAGTATCGTTAGTTTATAAGTCGAATTATCCGTTCTAGTCAGATTATTTTCTTCTCTTGCATTTTTTTTTCCGCAATCCGTCACGAATGGCTTCTGCGTGCATTTCATTTGCGACTTGCGGTTCCGCATTTATTACTTGTTATTTAGTACAACGCACATCAGTTTAGTCAGTTTAGAACGGCAATATCGCTTTTTTTTGCTATTAATACTAGAACGCTCGGTTTATTTTCTATCATTTTCACGGTTTTATTTTTATCTTTCCATTATTTCGCCTTGTATGTAATTTATTCATTTCATTCTTGTTTATTTTATTTTATTGTTGAGATTTCTTTTTTGCATTTATAATAGAAATAATTAATTTATAGGATGTAATTAATTAATTTGTGCATCTAATGCATAAAAATAACGATGTGCGCATTAAACAATTAATAATGTATACGTAATAACATCTTTTTAAAAATCGAATGTTAGAAGCCTTAACTACTGTTAATTGCAAAATGAATCGCATCTTCAAAATGAACAATCTCCGGGCGTTCCAAGTGTTAAACGTAATTGGGCCGTTCGTTAATAACTTCCGCGCTTACATCCAACGAATGGATCATCCATCGCGTCCATTATGGAATAATGAACGAACGGCCGAACGATGACAAGTCATCGTCGCATATTCCGCATTACGCTTAATCATCGATCATTACGAGTGCCTAATGATCCTTCGCGGGGACGCGAATACGAATGGTTGCGATGGCCACGTCATGTCAGTATTATTCTCATTAGAATTGGACGAGGTATCAGAGTATTGGAGTATTCTTCAACAACTTTAAGACTGGATTCGAATTTAGCATACCGGTGTATTATACGTTGCCAATTGCTTAGCATAAATTACGATCTACGTGATTATCTAATGCTGATTTTTTACAGTGAGCGGCACAAAAACTTATAATATCATAATTGATACCGGCGGATAAATTGGTCATACACGGTCATCTACACGATGATTTCGTAAGGACAGAATTAATCACTATTATAGAATCATTAGAAAATAATCAGTTGAAAACAATCATTAGATTAAATTTTGGATTATTTATTATAAACAAAATTCTATACCCTACTTTTATTTGATGCAATCGTACGTACTAGTCGAGAGTTAATCTCGTAGATCGTCCCAGTGGAATTTTACCAATAGCTTTCGCTTTCACAAAAAGCTACATCACATTAAGCATATCCGCGAAACGAAAAATGAGGGAGAGGCGTAAGGAGGAGTGGAGAGGGAAAGATACGAAATCATTCCGTTGCATTAGTTTGTATAATTGTATAATTTTTGTAAAGAACACGAGGAAAGCTTATATATGTGCAGATATATATAGATAGATATATTATATAGAGACAGATATATGATTCGTTAAAGCTAGTTCTTTTGCAGCGTATCTCGTCTTTTTCTTTTTATGTTCTTCCGTTTTTACGTTTAGTATAATGTAAGTCAATTAAATTATTCGCTAACCGGATAAATTCACTTGGTGCTTGGTCTACTTTTGTTCGTTGTTGTTTCCGTAAGCTTTTATAAAGCTTCTTTGTCTATTTATATTTACCTATATTTATTCTGTGGCGTTTCTTTTGAAACGCCACGTACTTGCACGATCGATCGTGCCCTGCTCACCGAGCTCAGACAATAATTCCTTTCTAAATAGATACATATTTAGTAGCCTAAGTGGTCAGGATCGGCGAGCCCAGCACGATCGATTCGTCTCAACTCGATCCTCGTGTCTAATGAAGCGCTCAGCTGATTTCCAAAACGCGTATATTGTACTTAAAATGCATTTATACAACGCTGCGATCGAGTCGGGTTTAATTTTTATCACATTTATTGTGATCCATTTATATTTAATACTGATTACAAGTGAAAATTTTCATGAAAATTTATTAATAACTTACGAGTATTATTCTTACATAAATTAATAAGTTCCATTCAAATACGTCCATTAATTTTTGCCTAGACTTCTCGATTTTAAGGAAGAAGCTGGCAATAATTTTTATTGAAATATACCGTTATATTTATTGATTATTGAAGAAAGTATAATGTAATGAACATAATAATGTAAAATAATTTTGATAATCACTCTACTTATCACTTTACCTACTGAAAGCCTATTAATAGGCTATTAACAGGCAGCTTCCGATAAGTAAAGTGTCAATATCCGGCTATTGTCGAATTAATCAATAGTTTTTTGATCAAAGCTCTAACGGTGCCGTTATACAATAAATAATAATCACGGCAATCGAATATGATTTCAATTTTTATTGCAAAATTATTCGTTCTCAGGAAATACGCCTATTATCCGAACACTGCCTCATTTCAACAAGCAATTATCGACCCGACTCGATCTTTCATATCCGTTAATCAACGATTGCGAATAAAAACACCGATTATAACGCACACATTTCTATAGATCGAATGATCTGTATTTATAATCCTCGCAGTGTGTTTCGTTTTTGTCTTTCATATTTAATTTATTTATATATCATATACGACACTCGTCCGCCATCCCTGACGCTTCGTTATTAGAGAGAACGGTCTCAGTGGCGAGACAATAATGCAAGACAATCGCGTATTTTCTATATACCGAATCTATCATCGAGAATTGAATCTTTAGTTGTCTCGCCATTCGGACGATAGCGATATCAACGACATTGTTTTTTTTTTTCCTTTGAGGTATACTCTGTAACGTTGATTGTATGGGTAAAGCATAATGATTGTAATACTATAGCCATTTATAATAAAATATCCTTTTCTTAAATTTCTATGCCGATGTGATGGAATATATCTCCAATATCAAAGAAGCTTCAGCTTGAATCCATTCGTTCTTTACTATATTTCACTTACTTACGTACATGTGTTCTCAAAAAACTAGTTATGTTCCGATACCTTTCGGTTTTGCGTTTATTTCCATTTCACGAAAGATTCATTATATTTCTGATTCATACATTTATATACTCATATATTATTCAAGCGTTTCCCATTTTGAATAGAAAATCGACTTTTATCACATAGTTTTGCTAGTCACATTTTTTGGAAATTATCGATGTATTCTATGTTTTCATTTATGAAACACTTTTAACACACAACTAGTTTTCATTTATGACACTTTTAACACACAACTAGATAATATCTATTGCCTAAAAATATGCCATAAAACTATCTAAAAGAAATAGTTCTAATTTATTAAATGTCTTTTAGAGATCTAAAAATCTTTTGTATTGTTTGTTGAAATCACAAGCACACTTTTATTTAATGCGGATGAAAATCTTTGCACATGAAAAAGGCAGATTTATTAAAAGCGTATGCGTGCTTCTTGCTCATTTTTCAGAATCTTGTGTGCTGCGCTAGCGACGTCTTGGAGGGAGGTCGCGGGGTCGTACGTGTCGCGGTCACCGTGTCCGAATTACTAAGGTTCCACCAGACACGCTCGTCCTTGCAGACATCTTCGAGTATGCCGAACCACGTGCCTGCTTAGCGCCAGACAATCTAATTCGTAAAATCGATGAGTGGCGAGATGAGGAATGCGCGGTCAATGCGCTCAAAAATGCACTCCAAGATGAAACAGACGAAGAGTCTAATGTGACTTTTCTTCGAAATGTCGAGACTGCATTGCAATCTGCTCGGTTACTTCCGTTTTACCGTGAGTGAAGCATTTGCAGATCCGAAATTTAATGCGCGAGTTAATTATCGATCGTTAACTGGTTTGTAAAATAATTTTATATACATTGATTTATTTAAAACTAAAAGCTCAATTGAAAAAGATAATAATTGGTTCAACAAATTAGAACAATTAAAAAAAATTTTAATTAATTAAGATTAAAATTAATTATTAAATTTAAAATTATATTCCAAATTCTGTGTTCAGAGGAAAATGTTTCGTAAAATTTTAAACATGTAAAAATATAATTTTATAAATTTCATCTAAGAAATTTATAAAATTCACCTAAATATTGTTCGAACCACATTTTTTTAAGCCAGTTAAAGATCAGATAAAATTAAACA